CAAGTGATTGAAATCAAAAAAAAAGTTTATTTTTCTCTGTATTCAATTTTAGTTTTAATAACAAATAATAAAAAAAATCTTTTACTAAAAAGAAACTTTACGAAATAGGAATAACACTATCGAAATTAATTTTTATTTTTACTCTAAAGATGGTCAAAATTATACGTAAAATGATACAAGAAGCAAATTTACGCCAAGTAATGCGTTCAAAAATTGGAAAAAGGGTTAATCTTCGAAAATTCGTTCATCAGTCTTTTGCAAAGCATGATACCAACACAGCTTTCTTATATCAAAGACCTGAGCAAATTAATTCTACAAATAATGATTTGATCCTGAAAATTAATACTAATATGTTAAAATTTCCACAATACAGGAAAAATACCATTATAACTGTTGATAATATACAGAATGTTACTCAAGATGATAGTTCATCCATAAATGAAAATATTTTTAACGAAAACGAACAAGAGAATCATTCTGATGACCATGAAAATAGTAATAATATTAGTGATGATGATCAAAAAACTTACTTTCGTGAATCGGATGGATGTTATGATAGTGATGATCAAGAATCTTATTTTTATGAGTCGGATAATGATGATCAAGAAACTTATTTTCAAGGGTCAGATGAATATGATGATGATGACGATGATGATCAAGAAAAATGCTTTCAGGAATTTGATGATGATAGTGATGAAGATATATCTTTTATATTCAAAGATCAATATGATGGACTTCAAAATACATCACCCTATTATAGCGAAGCTAGACCTTACTTTCCAAATAAATCCGTGATGTTGATATTTATCTGGTATACAAAACATATGATAGGTAATAATAATTAGAATTTTTTATATTCTTTCTTGACAATTAACTAACCAGTCAGCCAATAGGATCTCATGCTTACCAGAATTTAGTAAAAATTTTACGACATCCAGACTTCTGTATATCTGATCTACCCTCAGTATCACAACACTAAAACAAATGCGACGTGGTCTTCCGTTGATGGTTCTAAATAGTCATAATGTTAATATTAATCTGATGGATACCCCATCTACCTCTGTTTCTTTTAAAGAGAGTTATACGTTTTCTATTCTTGATCATATTTAACGCATTCTTAACAATCCATCGATTTATCCAAAATTATACTTTGGT